CGCCTTCTCTTGCTGCATTTTCCAAAAACAAATGTTTATACATATTCTAAAGACGTAGCTTGTTTTTTTTTTACCTTATTGAGCTGCTTCAAGAACTTTACTGTTGATCTCATTACTATCACTTTAGGCAAAAGAGGGTGCTAATAAATGCATCAATCCATTACGTATTTGAGTCTGTGATTCGATTGTTTTTTCGAGTTGGGAAACTTGTTGTTGCATCTGAGTGGTTTTGTAGATAGTCGTTTGGTTCATATTGTAAGACAGAAAGACAATTGCAAGAAAAACCAAAAAGCTATTTTTGCTAAAAAAAACCCAAACAATTATTGAATATTCAACATAACTCAATATACTCTTTTTAGATGAGTCTCATGTCAAACTCTTAGGAGTGCATCAACGTATTGCATTGTGCAAACCTTTTTTTTGTTTTCAATAAGAAACATTATTAGTATTATTGTACTTGTAAAAAAAATAAAGAATTCTTCTTGCTCATAAAGCTACTATTATTGTCGCAGTACTTGTCGCCTCATAACTCTTATTGTTGACAAAACGAACAACTTTGTTCCCCACAAACAAGAAAATTAATGATTTTGAATGATATGACTTGCTTTTTAGAAAAATAAAATAAAAGTTGTTGACATTTCGAACAACATTGGCAAAAAAGTTACTTTTTCTTGTTTGTTTTGCGAACAATATTAGTAAAGTCAAACAACTAATCCGCCATAGTGACACATGTGGTGCACACAAGTCAACCCAAGAATACCTTGTCTCCAGTTAATAACAGGATCATGGCGGCCAAGCCAAGGAGCACCAAGTATGACCGGATAGGCCGCATTATCAAGAAGACGAAGATCTAGGTATTCCTCATGGGTGGTACCCTCCACACCCAAGAAGACCGAAGAACACAAGGAAGAAGCAAAGAGTCTACCATCAGCCAACTGGAAGGTGGTGTCACGATCATTACTGGTGGTGGGTAACCCAGCAGAGCGCACAAGAGCAGAGCAAACAAAGTTGGACGAGGCGCCGGAGTCTATCAAAGCAATGGTGGTGAAGCTGGTACTGGCTACCTGGATGGTGACATTGATAACCATCAGTCCGGGATGTACAATAGGGACGACCAAGCCCAAAGAGCCAGAGATATCCTTGGAGGAATCAGGTAAACGAAGCTTCTTGAAGTTGTGAGCTCGAAGGAACTCACCCTCTAACTCTACGGAACTACGCTTGGGACCAGCAGAACCCACATGACACAAGCCAGGAAGCACAACAGACATAGACCAACCCACGTTGGGCTCTTCAGAGGTTGAAAGTACAGCAGACAATGCATCAGGAGAGCGCTTTTTGGGACAAGAAGACGAAAAGTGGCCTTTATCGCCGCAGTAAAGGCAGAAATTGTTATTAACTCGATGTTGTCGCTCTTCAGCAGACAAAGAGTGGCCAGCAACACGAGACACGACACTGAGATCCATTGGAACCGGGGCAGGGGGGACAGGAGAAGACAAAGAAGCAGGGCGAGAGAAACGGGGAACAAGATTTTTTTCTCTTTGTCGGTCTGACAATCGGTTATCGATATCGATACTAGCTTTGATGAGGTTGTCCAAAGTATCAATAGGATCACGACGAGCCAGTTCATCCTTGACAACATGTTTAAGGTTTAGCTTGAACTGAGATACCAAGGCGGCGTTATTCCAATCGACCAGAAGAGAGAGGCGACGAAACTCAGTAGCATAAGCTACAACAGAGCCAATTTGCTTGAGAGCACGCAATTCATTCTCAGCCGAACCAATGGGATTTGCCTCCCCAAAAGCATCCATAAGTGTTTGAGGAACAAAACAAAGTCACAAAGAATGGGGGTTTATCAGTACCGGAAACCAAACCGTGGAGATGGGATTGAATGTAGGCGAGAGCATTACCTTGTAAGCAACCAAGGGCAAAAAGAACCTTAGCCTCATCATGGTTGTTGTGAACATATATGAATTCATATGCATAGATCAATAAATGATGATCATGGCAAAAAACCAGATCACATCTATGGCAATTGCAATGGATCTATAGTCACTGACATTCACTCATTCCACTAGAAGTACTACATCATCCTCATAGTCAGAGATTATGAACCTAGTGACTCTGTTAGTATCAATGGCCCTCATAAAGTGACAGTTAGAGCTGACAAAGACATTAGCATTGGCATTTGACAAATACAGTGGTTACATTGAGTGTCCCATAAAACCTGTTTTTTTACCCTTCTCTACAAAAACTCCGTCGATCCTTCTGAAACTTGGCACATAGATTAATTAGTCATTGACAGTAAGGATAACACTGCTAATTGCTCCTAAATACATCCAATAACAGTGCTTCATTTTCAAAAGAGAGAAAATTTGTGTTTCACCATAATTTATTCTTTATTTGAAATGCTCAAAATTTAGTATAACCGCCCTTTGCTTTGATGACTGCTTCTATACGTTGAGGCATGCTGCTATAGTATGCCTCCATGTCGCCTTTGCAAAATTTGTACTACTCTTTTTCGACCCTTGACCACAATTCGTCCAGATTTTTTGGTTTTGTATCATATCCGGCTAGCCTGCACTTTAACTGTTTCCAAAGATGCTCTATTGGGTTCAAATCGGGACTGTTAGGTAACCAGTCAGCAGTAAAGTGGACTTTGTGGGCTTTAAGCCAAGAAATGGTAGCCTTTGCTTTGTGTTTTGGGTCGTTGTCTTGTTGAAATATACTTTTTTGTGGATCCATACTATAATACTCCAATGTATCTAGGTATGACGACCCTAGAATCTCCAAATAGCAATCGGTATCCATTGTCTTTTGAAGCACTCGAGAGGCATATCCTACTCCGGAAGATACCATGCACCCCCACATCATCAGAGAGCCACCTCCATGCTTGAGCAATAGCTTGTAGTTATGGGGCCTCGCTTTAAACCCTTGCTGTAACCAAGTGTATGTTGCACCATCTGATCCCCAAAAATTGATCTAAGCCTCGTCGGTAAAAACGATACTCTTCCACTCATTTGCGGACCAGTTACGATATTTTAAGGCCCATTTGTATCTCTTTGAAAGGTGAGAAACTCTCAAAAGAATTTTCTTCTGCTTGAACTTTGAGTATAATCCTACCCTTTTCATCAGAGAGACTGTCCCACTATACGTCAAAGCAATACCCTGTCCAGACAACCAAGTTTGGACTTCTTTGACATTCTTCAATGCTCCAGTTCGGACTTTCATTCGTAGCAAACAAGCCGTAAGATGACCTACTCTTGATGGTCTACCGGTACCAGTGCAAGTTTTCATTTCTGGCAACTCTTTTCTAATACGAGAAACAGTTGATTTGGCAACACCTGTTAGTTTTGAGACCTGACGAATCGATTTGCCAGATAAAAGTGCAGATTTGACATTGTTTCGTTTATCGTATGGGAGGCTGTAAGGCATGATAATAAGGAGAAAAGGTATGTATATAGAATGAAGAAAAGAGAATTTTTTTCTGAAAAGCTTGCCGCATTTATATGTAGTCGGGTAGGTTGTGCTAGAATTTGCCGAAGAATGTGGAAAACGCACAATTGAGAATGCTTATTCGCCGAAGAAAATAAGGTATTCAAGTTTTGCAGGAAATTTTTTTTGAAAACGCTACGTCATTTTTTACCTAAGTTGTCCAAGAATGGTATCTCTTACTAATTAGGGAAATTGAAGTAACCAGCAGAAAAATGCGCTTTTTCTGATACTAACACAAGGTCAATACGACGAAAATATATTAATTTATGCTTACAAATGAGTTTTATGGGACACTTAATGTAACCACTGTATGTAATAGTTTATTCAAGTTCAGGTCAGATCATGTACTATTGGCTGAGCTGATAACTTCCTCTAAAGGCATTTCTCTTAATTGCTCCTGATCTAACAAACCAATCCGTAGTCAAGGAGCCAACCCCAAAACAATATTTTGACCGAGAAGAAAAAGTATAAATACCTTGACATTTTATAGCAATTGAAAGATAACATTTTCTTGGAAAAATAAAAACCTATACAAGTTCTAACGGACTTTCTCTGTGTTCTTACCTTTTCTCTTATGGAATATCTACTCTCTCTTCATCTCACAACAATGGTGAAACTGAACTGGGTTGGCCAAAAAGACAACGGAGAGTTGCATGAAGAAGGACTTTATTTGTTTGGCAGAGCCAGAAAAAGGAGCAGGAGGAGAAATCTTGATGGAAGTGGCTTGTCTTTGATTGGCTTGGTTTACATATTGGAGCATTTCGGTACCCAGATTGTTGACTAGTTGGTGAGTTTCATCCTTAGTAGCAACAGATTCCTTAAGGGACGCAAGTTCAGCACTAAGAGAAGAGACCTGGGACAACAAAGACTTGATCACGTGATCTTCAGAAGACATAAGAGACCGGTAAGTGAAAGACAGGGAAAAAAAAGATGTTTAGTTTAATGGTTAATAAGGCAAGGTAACCGTTACGACCTGAGTTCAATTCTTGCAAAGGGACAGTAAATATGGATCGAGATTTCAGAATCTGTAGCACCAACAGAAAAGTTTTTTGGTCAGATATTATGTCACGAACGGAGCCCCAAATGATACTTACAGAAATTGATCCAAAAAGAGTGATAATTTATTTTTGCAAGAAAAGATAAACAAAATATCTGACAAAGGAAGAAGGAACGAGATACAAATTATTACAGTATTTATACTAAAGCTAAAGCAACCGGTGGAACAACAGGAAGACCGAAATCATACGATAAAGCCGAGCACGAGGGAATACAGAACACAAGGGAATACAGAACATGAGGGAATACAGAACACAAGGGAATACAAACACAAGGGAATACAGAACACAAGATACGGAACACAGCAGGAAGTAACAGAACACAGAATATAGCATAACACTAAGGCGCCGATAACATGAAACAGAGAATGGATAAGGGAGAACGAGGACATTGAGCTGGGAAAGAACAATAGTACCAAAGGTCTTAACTATGGGGCAAGGATTCATGACATCGACACGGAATGCATTGCTAGTATAACATAATTTATGGATGACGTCTACAACATGGTACAATCTGTCAAGATAGGGTACAAGTTGAGATAATTCATCCAAGGAAAGGGGAAAACGAATGCAATCTAATTCTGCAACCATTAAAATATCTTCCATAGCCTCGCTGATGTTGTATTGAATGTTCTTACCAACGGCCATAATTTGAAACATATGTTTTCTGTTGAAATTAATGGTGCCAGCCTTTGAAAATGTGCGTAATCTGTGAAAATCCATATTTATTTTTCTGTGGTTTTTGGTATGCTTGATTGGCTCTACTTCGAAATATCCAATCGCCATCAGATCATTCTCAACGACTCCATCCGGACGGTTTTTGTTTGGATCTGCGTCTGCATCCAAAAAGCAATTCGTGCTCAACCACTTGAATATATGCTAATCTTGATCACAGTCAACAATTTTTGGAAACAGGGTTGCAGGTATCTTGTGCAAAGTTCAAATTCTTTGCTTTCTTTCTTTTGGTTTGTGAGGGGAAGCAACTCAACCATCGATTTGACACATTGTAACAACCTAATCATGATTTGATCTGTGTTGTCGATAACCAGTACTGATATTTTGCTTTCTGCTTGAATCCTTGACATTGTATCACGGTTCAGATCATTGGTAATATTTATTAAAGTCATCATGGTATCGATTGGAAATTTTTGATTCAGTTGTTTGAAACCAAAGGTATTATACATATTTTGGCGTATTGTCTCTATAGGCTCGTCGAAATAACTTTGCAATCCAGGATAAATTGACTTTTTCTCAATGTACATTATATCAGAGAGTGCAAGTAAGTGTTGCAAGTGTGTCTCATAGGTAAGTGGAGCCTCCATTGATTCATATACGTCTCTCTTGAATCGTGACAAAGAATTTGAGTACATATTTAGGCTGTGTACAGTTCTCATATCTTCGGCTATGATTGCTTTGGCATACTCAAAACTAATTGTTTCAATTCTTTCTACTGTGGTTACTGAAGAACTAGCACTGTCACTTTCCTGAGGTTGAGAAAGAGAATTTTTATAGTTCAATTGGCTCATTTCCAAATTTCTTTGCTTCCAGAAGCCTTTTGCAATTTTCGTCTTACGCCACTCGTTGTAATCATCTTTTAACTTTTTTTTCAAATTCTCATTGTTGTGATGTAAGAGAGAAGATAAAAACAAAGAAGTCGATTAGAACTTGTATAGGTTTATTATCCAAAAATATATATCTCTCTTTTTCTAGCTCTTCATTCTCTAGGTATTTATATATGAAGAGATGTCGGAGTAAGTAGTAGTAGAGTTCATGCAAATGACTGAGTCTCTATTATCATAGACTACTTTAAATAATTAAATAATGTAAATTATGGATTTCAGTTATACGTCTTGATCTATTAAAAGATACATTGTCTTATTTAGTACAAGAGGTTCTTTTATGTCTATTTCTGATGTAAATTGATTATGATGTATTTTAGTATGTAAATGAAGACTTATTTAATGTCAGATCATCATATGCATATAGATTCTATATGTTCACAACACTCATCATCCACATAATCAATCACTGCTAAGAAGCGTATTTGTACTCTTCTTGTATCGTGCGTTTTGAAAAAGTTAAAAAAGTCGATGTGTGTTATGTTGTTGTTGCCGTTGTTACGCAACCAATTGATTTCACTAGGAAGTCTTTTTGTGGGTTGTTTCTTCACCATGGCAATGAAAAGATATGAGGAAAAGATAAAATAATACTCCCAAAACGCCTTAAAAAATTGTTCACAAATATTTTGTTACTGGTAGTGGCACAGACTCTACATGAAACACTTTAGGATGCCAATGATATTATAATAAAGCAGGTATCCAAGTGATCATCACTTACAAATAACGATGAAAAGTTAACATTCTGCCTTCTACGTTAGCAATATAGCTAATATATATAGCTAATATATATATTATATATATATATATATATACAATAAGTGAGAATGACGACTGCGGCAACTTTGATTTTACAAAAATATACGTTTATACGTTTTTAGGATCAGTTAAAGGATGGTCCTTCTAGCATTAAAGCATGAAACAATTGTATTTTAAGTTAATCATTGAAAATTTGTTTATTTATTAAAATGAATTATAATTATTATGAGCCATCGGTGTATTCGATGTGAATCTATATGAAAGAAAAAAGTCAGTAAACCGCCTATTTCTATAGTCAATAGCCACCAAGAAACAACAAGGCTTAGACTAACGCGAGGGCCAGCGTGTCCGTTCGCCTACGACGTTGGCACGCGTACTATTGACCGTTTTACTGAGTAAGTAAACTTACCTTTTGTTTTGACTTGAATTGCACTATTAAAGAAGAAAGAAGAGGCGACAAAAAAAATCCTTGTATCAAATAGAGGTTCGTGTGGCTTATCCAAAAAAACAATTACAGTTCAGACCAGTAAAAATTCGTTTTCAGACAAATAAAAAAAGGAAATTCGGACAAATAAAAAATAGTTTCAGACAAACGAAAACAGTATATTCAGACAAGATAATTAATACTAAGCTAAACCAGTTTCTTTATCAAGACACTTATCCAGAAAGTCTCTGAATGCCTAATCCACCCAAGACAATCCTCCTGCAAGCCTCTTGAATTCTGGGTGTCAGAGTATCCAATGAAGAGAGAGGATTGCGTCGGACGTGCGATTTAATCTTAGCCCAGCACTCCTCGATTGAATTAAGGAAAGATGAGTAAGGTGGCATAAATAGAGGTATGTAACCGCGATTTTGAATAGCTTCAACTACATAGTGGGAATGGTGAATTCGGCAATTGTCCATGACAATAAAGAATCCATTTTTGTCGTTCCTATCTAGAACATCCATAACATTTCGAACAAATGTAACGATATGGTAGGCTGTAGTACCTTTTTTCACCTACGTTTTAGGTGTATTCTCAGTTTCTGCCTTTCGCTTTTTACTCTTAGGTAAAGGAAACTCCTTCTCAATCTTAGCAACATCACTAGGCTTAAGGGGTTCCACTTTGGAGAAATTAATAGTGCCAAATGGAGATATACACCCAGCAATACTCAAATTTACGCCCTTTTGAGTAGGAACTTTGACTTGTGCTAGTTCGCCCTTGAGTGACCAAGCTCTACTTCTAATTTAATGCGAATTGAATCCAGCTTCATCAATAAACACGCAATTTTTCTGAAAATCAACTCCAGCAGCTTTCCATTCCGTTATTATTTTGTAACGAAGCCCCATTGTTCTATTGGTGTCTCTATTCATGGTGTAAAGGCTTGAATTTTTCAAAGATAGCCTTATCTTCTCTGTCATATGTTTGCGTAGTCCACTTTCAGATATTTGAAGGTCTTCGAATAGTTTGCAAAGCTCTTCCTTGGCCATACTAACCGTAACACATGGGTTACTATCAACCAGGCAGCTTAGAAAACGCGTGTGCTCCTCTTTGATCTTAATATTGTTTGCCTTAGGAACAAATTTGTTCACTTTTGATGGTCGTTTTATACAGCCTACAGGAATGACAGTTCCATCGCTTTCATTCCATTGTTTGAGTGTTTCATAAGCAGTTGAGCGAGGAATCAAACAAGTCTTTGCGTGCTTCACGATCGATCCACCTTCTTCTTGAACAAGTTCAATAAATCGCCTAATGTTTTCAGGACCATAAGCTTTATACGGTAGAAACTTCGTGCTATCTTTATGCTCGCTGTCGAATAAACTAGTCTCTTTTGAGCATTTACATCCTGTTCGTTATTTTCGTCAATAGCAGCATCCTCTACTACTTTTCGAGGTGCAGTTTGATCATCAGCTGAAAGCAGTAGTTTGCCATACGTAAAAGCAGGATCCTCATCAATGTCCATTTCTTCAACAATCTCTTCGACTCGGTTGTCACTCATTACAATTTCATTTGCTATTCTACAATGTTCGTTCATATTATAATCTGAAAAAAATACAAGTGTCTGAAAAGAAAACAAATTAGTCTGAAACAATTTTTTGTTTTGTCCGAATTCCCTTTTTTGATTTGTCTGAAAACGAATTTTTATTGGTGTGAAAAAAAAATCACTTGTCTGAATTTGAAATTGCGAATACTGTATTTATACATGAAGAGATGTCGGAGTAAGTAGTAGTAGAGTTCATGCAAATGACTGAGTCTCTATTATCATAGACTACTTTAAATTAATTAAATAATGTAAATTATGGATTTCAGTTATAAGTCTTGATCTATTAAAAGATACATTGTCTTATTCAGTACAAGAGGTTCTTTTATGTCTATTTCTGATGTAAATTGGTTATGATATATTTCAGTATGTAACTGAAGACTTATTTAATGTCAGATCATCATATACATATAGATTCTATATGTTCACAACAACAATAACAACAACAATAACAACAACAACAACAACAACAACAACAACAACAACAACAACAACAACAACAACAACAACAACAACAACAACAACAACAACAACGAACATACAGATAACAATAACGAACATACCGATAACGATAACGACAAAAACAACCGTGACAATAACAACAGCAATAACTATAAAAGCGACAATATTTACGACAATAACAATGACAACGACCATGATACAACAAACGTGAACAACGACAACAAAAATAACCACGGCAGCAAAGGTCTTGCTGGAGAAAAACGGAAATTAGGCGGAAATATCGTGCCATTTTGCAAGAATAGATTACTACACATAATGAAGTCGATAGCAACTAGTGATGATCCATTCAACGTTGAATGCTACAATTATGAATTTATCACAGCCGAAACCCAATATGAACTGATGAAAGACACATTCCCGGATCTTCAGCAATACTGTACGATAGACCAACTACAATACTGGGTTGGTCAATCAAATATCTGGGGACCACGCAAAAGAAAGACAACGAATGGTCAAGTGAAATACGGTCGACATCTGTGGGTTTTACGCAAGGAGATGAGAGAATTCTTGGTCGAATCGACAGATTCAATTTCAGCATATTGGGACCATCTCAAGAACGAGGTTGATTTTATCACTATTGGTTATGCCAGAAAATCTACAACCAAAGAAAATGATGCATCGGGAACGCGACTTCTGCAACTCATGGTTGACAAGCTGTATTATCGAATGAAGTGTGAGGAAGTGTATGTCAGTCCGTGCTGCTTTGCCGATGAACCGATTTTGGAACGTGATCCCCTGTATCAGATCACTTGTTTTCAGTCATCAAAGGTTGCAATGAAGACATTACAGATTTGACGAAGCGCATCCATTACACACAAAAACATATGCATCTGGCTATTATTGACTATGCTAGCCTTTCCACATCTCAGAATGACATTCGAAAATTTCCCGACACATACCCCAATATCAAAGAAATTGCCATTGATCATGGTAAATCAATTGAAATCCTGATTAAACACCAATTATTGGAGAAAAACGATGCTGAAAAATTCAATTGTCGCCCTGATCTTGTTTAACGATCAAGATAAAGAATACATTTGTTTGGCAGTCTTCATCTTTCAGTACCCGCATAATTTTTTAGTCCATGCTTTAACAAAAGGAGGAAGGGCGTATATGATACTCAGAGCGTAAGCGATGAGTATAACTTAAAATAAAAAAATATATAAAAAACAAAAACAATGAAGACAATTATGTAATCAGACTTGCTGACGGTTAAAGATCTTTCAAATTTAAAACTATTGTTTTTATTGAGACAAAGACATTTATATCTATATTTTGACGGCCAAGCTTTATCGAATGAAACACTAGTTTCATTTACTGAGCAAATCTAGAGGAATCTATTGGGGATATAAATACCAACCAATAAATCAACCAAGTACCTCACAGATTGTCCTATAATATCCTTCTATTCATTCAAATAATGACCTGATATTTATAATGATGAATTGACATTAATAAAATGCTCTACCCTGATGTTGTGAAATGAAGAAAGTAGATATTAAATAAGAGAAAAGGTAAGAACACAGAGAAAGTCCGTTAGAACTTGTATAGGTTTTTATTTCTCCAAGAAAATGTTATCTTTCTGTGATATTTTGATAATAGAGTTATATAATAAGATGATATAGAGACAAAGGTAGATACTTTGAGACTGTTCTATACAATTTTATTGTTGTTCTTTTTGATTATAAATTATTCTAGCATATTTATACATGAAGAGATGTCGGAGTAAGTAGTAGTAGAGTTCATGCAAATGACTGAGTCTCTATTATCATAGACTACTTTAAATCAATTAAATAATGTAAATTATGGATTTCAGTTATAAGTCTTGATCTATTAAAAGATCATTGTCTTATTCAGTACAAGAGGTTCTTTTATGTCTATTTCTGATGTAAATTGATTATGATATATTTTAGTATGTAATGAAGACTTATTTAATGTCAGATCATCACGCTTTCAATTGCTATAAAATGTCGAAGTATTTATACTTTTTCTTCTCGGTCAAAATATCGTTTTGGGCTAGCTTCTTGACTACGGATCGATTTGTTAGATCAGGAGCAATTAAGAGAAATGCCTTTAGAGGAAGTTATCAGCTCAGCCAATAGTACATGATCTGACCTGAACTTTAATAAACCATTACATATTTGTCAAATGCCAATACCAATGTCTTTGTCAGCTCTAACTGTCACTTTATGAGGGCCATTAATAATAACAGAGTCACTGGGCTCATAATCTCTGACTATGAGGATGATGTAGTACTTCTAGTAGAATGAGTGAATGCCAGTGACTATAGACCCATTGCAATTGCCATAGATGTGATCTGGTTTTTTGCCATGATCATCATTTATTGATCTATGCATATGAATTCATATATGTTCACAACATTACCCTCCTCCAGAGTCAAATTATCTTTGATAGTTGTAAACGGCTTCTTACAATGTGAACATCTAGGCTTGATATAACGTTACTTGACATAAAAATGATTTAGAGTCTATGCAATTTGTGTTCTTCAAAAGGAAAATAGTTTTTCTTCTCTTTCATGTCACTTAGCATTTAATTCTTTTGCTAGCTCTTCCATTTGTGGATAATTCCTCTCTACTTTGTCTAGTAGGATGGTTCTTCTCTTTGTTCCTGTCTTGTGTAGTACATCATTCTTATTTTCTTTGTTAGATGCAGATTTATCGCTTGATTTTGATTCAATGCGTTCATTCTCTAATGTTTTTAGTTTTTCAACTTTACCCCAGTAGCGATTGATGATTGTAGGATCTTGAAAACTAGATGCAGGCTCCCAAGTGTTAGCTCTTTCACCAAAACCAGTCCATTTAACCAAGTACTCTCGTCTTCCTGGCTTGCCACGATGATCACGAATATCTTCTACTTCGAAGTATTCGGTGTATAATTACGATGCAATAATTCATTTTGCTCGTCTTTTAACTCATATGAGCCACCTTTGTTTCTTCTTACAACAGTATAGGGGTCTTCATATAATGGAGACAGTTTACTCGGTCTCTTTTGCTGTCTTACCATAACATGTGTTCCGGGTTCAATATCAACAAGTATGTTCTTTGTATTGAACCTCTTATTATATTCCTCATTTATCTTTTGAGTTCTTTCAGAGATAGCGGGAAAGACAATCTTCTCCATGTGATCAATGCGCTGCTCAAGATCATCGCGCGTCATCATATCTCTAGGAAGTGGGTTGTGATGATCTGACATTAAATAAGTCTTCATTTACATACTGAAATATATCATAATCAATTTACATCAGAAATAGACATAAAAGAACCTCTTGTACTGAATAAGACAATGTATCTTTTAATAGATCAAGACTTATAACCGAAATCCATAATTTACATTATTTAATTGATTTAAAGTAGTCTATGATAATAGAGACTCAGTCATTTGCATGAACTCTACTACTACTTACTCCGACATCTCTTCATGTATAAATATGCTAGAATAATTTATAATCAAAAAGGAACAATAAAATTGTATAGAACAGTCTCAAAGTATCTACCTTTGTCTCTATATCATCTTATTATATAACTCTATTATCAAAACATCACATTTTTTACTTTGAATTCTATTTTTACAATGTCCAACCAAAACATCAACTCTGGCTTTCGTTCTTCTTCTCCTGCTCCTGTTCTCAAGAACACTCTCCTGCTCCTAGTATTCCTGCTGTAGATGAAGCCATGGATCTTAGACCTGATTCTTTTGAATCTCAAGAAAATGTGCCTATTGACATTGAAGAAGTAACATCTGCCAATCTTGCTGCCACTGCCAAAGAGAATCTGGACCGTCTCAAAACTGAACTCAAGGTTGCTTATGGTCACTATCTTGCCTACCAAAAGGTTCATCCACAAGCTGAAAATACCAAGCATGCTTATGAAGTCTATAAACAAGCCGAGGTCTTGTACAAAGAAGCAGACGAAGCTTATAAGGTCTTCTTGGCTATGGAAACTCCCAACGTGCAAGTAGACAAGAGAAGTACTTTGGTTCCAGCTGGTCTTCCTTTCTTGCAGCTCAAGACTGATACAGTGATTAGCAAGAAAAATCAAGAAGTCTTCGATTCTGTCTACGATTTCTGTATGCAATTTAAGACTGTCTTGGAAGCCCACTCGTTGAATATGGATGACAACTGGGAACGTCTTTTGCCTATGTCTCTTAACAAGGAAGAGAAATCTTGGTTTGATGAAAAATTAAGAAACAAATGTCTGTCCTGGAGGGAAGCTGAATCGATGATCTTGGATCATTTTGATACCCCTTATCGCAAGTTTTTGTTGATGGTAAAGGTGTGGTCCCTCAAGCAATCCCATGGTGAATCAACTCGTTCCTTTGCTGCTCGCTTTCAGAAGCTTAGAAGACAGGCAGGTTTAGCCGATGGTTTACAACTGGTGTTGAGTTTTTGGTGTGCTCTGCGTGAGTCCGTCCGTCGTGTTGCCTCTGTTGCTGTGTCCTCCCAGTATGGAACGAAATTGCCAAGTAAAATCGAAGACATGATCGGTTTGGTAATTGCTGCCACTAATGACACTGATTTGTTCTCTTCTTCGTGGGACGCTGCTGGTCTACCTAGCTCTTCTTCGGGTTCTGGTTCATATAAGGGTAACAATGAGCGTAGTCGTAAACGCAGTTACTCACCCATATTTGCTGGTAAAGGTTCTTCGGAGTCTAGCAAGTCCATTTATGCACCAAGTTCAAGTAAGAAACCTTGCACGTACTGTGATAAGCCATGGTCCCATGGTCACAGATGTGATGAATTCAAGGAGGCTAAGGCCGCCAAGAAACAAAAGGTTTCAAGAATGGCTGTGCGTGGTGGTTGTTCTTCTTTGGATGATGACGCTGATATGAAGAACAATGATAACAGTGATGATGACACTGATGAAAATGCTCGTTTGGCTCGTTTGGCTCTTGATTGTAAGTCTAAAAACAATATAACAAGAGATTTTAAAAACATAAGTGCTAACATTACCTTTCCTATCCTTATCAATAATTCTGTTAGAACAATGTCATTGTTAGATTGTGGTGCTGTCTTCTCCTCAGTTGACAAGTCATTCTGTTTAGAAAATAAGATAGACATCAATTATATAAATCATATCAATAAAGATCTTATTAGTAAAAATAACTTACACAAGTATTTCATAAGACTTGCTGATACAAATACATACGTCAAAAGAATAGGAACTTGTACCTTAAGCGTTAGTTGCAATAGTAAAACTATAAAACGTACTTTTGAGGTTATGAATCTTACCAATAATAATGAGTTCTCGCTCAGCATTGGAACCGATTACATGTACACATTAGGCATTGGAATCTCTGGATTACCTTTTCATACGATGATAAAGATACTACTGAAGAAGTGCTTGAAGCAGATAGACGCTATAACAATACTAGTGATCTTCTAGAATCTTTAGAAAAAGAAAATAAGATGAGTGATCATAATCCTGCTTGTAATGCTGATGAATATAAAGCTGCAATGGATTATATTCAACCTTATATTGATAATAACCAAGCTATTCCAAAAGGATCTTTCTGTACTATACCTGAAAGTGTGGTATGTCTAGATACTCCACCTAATGTAACAGCGTATAAGAAACCCTATCCTGTACCTTTGAAAATGATGGGCGTAGTGGATAAACAGATTGATGAATGGTTGAGCAACGGTATTATCAAAAGAGCACCAGCCAATACTGAATGGAATACGCCTCTTACTGTTGTAAAGAAGACTGATGGTAAAGGTGAATTGACAGGCTATCGTGTGTGTCATGATCCTCGTCATATTAATGTTTTGCTCAAAACAGTTGATCGTATGCCATTACCTGTAATTAGTGAACTCTTTGAGGAATTACAGGGTGCTAAAGTATATTCTACTCTCGACTTGAAGTCTGCATTCAATTCTTTAAAATTGAATCCTAAGGACACTGTAAAGCTTTCATTCACATGGCGTGGAATACAATATCAGCCTATTGGCACTGTATTCGGCATCAAACATGTGAGTTCACAATTTCAGAGAACCATGAGTATTGCTCTTGAAGGTTTGCCTTTTGTGCGATTCTTTGTTGATGATATTGTATGTGCTAGCCAATCAGTCGAAGAGCATAAAATCCACTTACAACAGGTGATCCAACGCTTAACTGATGTAAACCTGAAATTGAACCCTGCCAAGTGTCATTTCTTCCAATCATCAATTCACTTGCTTGGTTTCCATATTTCTCCACAAGGTATCAGAATGGATCGTCGCAAACTTGCCAATGTACTTGAATTTCCTAAACCAACATGTGGCAAAGACATCATGCGCTACTGTGGTCTATTGAATTTCTTCCGATCATTGATACCTAACGTTTCTTCAATCATGTCTCCACTTGATGAATTGAGAAATGAAAAATCATTGCATAAGATCTGGAATGATAAACATCAAAAGGCTTTTGATAACTCAAGAAAGCTCTGTTAAGTGATATTGTGTTAGCCTATCCAGACATGAATGTTCCATTCTCCATAAGCTGTGATGCATCAAACACTGGTATTGGCGCAGTATTGTATCAAGAGACTGATGGAGAAAAAAAGTACATCTCTTTTATTGCTAAAAGTCTATCTAAAAGTGAACACAAATACTCTGCCACAAAACGTGAACTACTTGCACTTGTATTCTCACTGAAGCGTTTTCACAAGTATATCTATGGTTCTACATTTACGTTATATACGGATCATAAGGCACTTACTTACTTACATACTCAACGTATTGCAAACTTGATGATGATCTCATGGATGGATACCATTCTCCAGTATGACTTCAAGATCGTTCATTTGCCTGGTATTTCAAATGTCTTACCTGACACTTTATCCAGACTCTATGAGGACGATTCAACAATGTCAAATGAACTGGGAGGGGAAAAATCAATCATGAGAAGTAGTGCTGCCACTAACGAACCATTACCCACACTTGAAAGTGGTGAATATTTTACACCTCCATATGAGGAGCGTGATAAAGTGCTTGCTTTTGAGCATAGTAAAGGGCACTTTTCTACCGAGGCTCTAATTAATGCATTAAAGCGTAAAGGCATCTATTGGTCGAATCTAAAGAATGATGCAGATGAATTAGTTAAGGCGTGTATACAATGTCAGCGTCATAATATCAGCAGAAAAGGGTATAATCCATTAAGACCTGTGTTAGCTACTCTGCCTGGTGACAGTTGGGGTATTGACTTAGCTGGTCCATTTACTACCTCAGCTCAGGGCAACGAATACTTGTTAGTCATGATAGATATAGCTAGTAAATTTTATGTATTGAGAGCTATACCTGATAAATCAGCTGCAACTGTTGCTAAAGAGATACTGAACGTTATCTGCACCTTTGGACCTATGAGGAAAATCCAAAGCGACCATGGAAAAGAATTTATTGGGTTTTTAATGAACACCATAAAGAAACATATCGGTTTCGAACACGCGTTAATTTCACAATATCATCCAAGAGCAAATGGTGCAAGTGAAAGAGCGGTTCAATCAGCTGTAAAAACCATAAAGAAACAAATAAATGGAAATGTGGCTGAGTGGGACTACATGGTAGGACCAACCCAATTATATCTAAACAGTAAATATAATCTCAGAACGAAAAGCACTCCATTCTCTTTAATGTTTGGTAGAAATCCTAATGACTTTGAAGACTTCAGTCAAGAAAAGGATATAAAAACAACGGAGAAAATAAATAAGGATTTGCAACAAAAAATAAAATACATGACTAAAATAGTCTTTCCTGCTGTCTATGAACAAGCAAAGAGCGTAGCAGATAAACAGAAACTAAGGTTTGACAACAAGCATAAAATACTTGATATTCCCATAAATGCAACTGTAATGATTTTAGTTACAGACAAGCAAAATAAGCTTGATCCTCACTATAAAGGATTCTATAAAATAGTCAATAAAACCTCTGGTGGCTCTTATGTATTAAAGAATGAACAAGGATTCATTGAGCCTAGAAATTACCCACCTTCTTTACTAAAAGTTGTATCAGATAAGATGGTACCTGAAGATAAACAATATTATGAAGTGGAACCAATAATAGGACATAAAAAGGATGTAAACAATAAGTATCTCTATAGATGTAGATGGTTAAATTATGATGAATCTCAAGACACATGGAAACCTGAATCTTCATTCACTGATCCTAAATTCATAACAGAATATTGGAGAAGAATAGGTGTAATTCCTGAAAGTGTCAAGGCTATCAATAAAGCCAATAAAAAGTTATTGAAGAACATAAAAGATCAAGAAACACAATTAGATCAACATTCAGGAAAGAGAAAAAGATCGACAAGAAACAATACAGATCAAAACAAAAAGAATAGAAGATCTTAAATAAGCTTGTCGGTATTAGTCAATACCTGGGTGGGGATAATGTGATGATCTGACATTAAATAAGTCTTCATTTACATACTAAAAATATATCATAATCAATTTACATCAGAAATAGACATAAAAGAACCTCTTGTACTGAATAAGACAATGGATCTTTTAATAGATCAAGACTTATAACCGAAATCCATAATTTACATTATTTAATTAATTTAAAGTAGTCTATGATAATAGAGACTCAGTCATTTGCATGAACTCTACTACTACTTACTCCGACATCTCTTCATGTATAAATATGCTAGAATAATTTATAATCAAAAAGGAACAATAAAATTGTATAGAACAGTCTCAAAGTATCTACCTTTGTCTCTATATCATCTTATTATATAACTCTATTATCAAAACATCACAGTACTCCGTAGGATCAACTCGGTACGTGCTATCAGAGCCGTTGTCAGAAGACGACTCGATTTCCGAGTCGCTGGGGTCTTGTTCTGGTCGGTCATAAGCCTCTAGTCGGCGAGTGCAATCCTCTAATGTGGCTACAGGATCAAAAGAGTCCTCACTTTCAAGGGGAGATGCTGCTCCAACCGAAATATCTGGTGAGAATGACCTAACTTGTTCGTCTATAGCATCTCTTTGCTGTACTAATAGTACAAAAACATAACGGTTAGAAACTATGAGGCATATATTCGAGCTATAAAGCCCTGTAATAAGTAACTTACAGTCAGACCTTTGAAACTGAGACTCCAAAAAAACGGCAACTCTATCAACTGGAGCAACTGCTGGTGGTGGCGAGATTGAAGGGAACCTCGTAACCATTGTACGAGCAAAAGGGTTGCTCGTAACAGGAAGAAAAAGGCTAGAAGAGTCCACAGACTCCGGTGTTGGGGATCTCTCTATAGTGGAACCATAAGTGATTGGTACTTCTATTGGTTCCCTCTCCAATCGGGGTCTTGTAAGTATGGCGGGGGGTGATTGAACTCCAAATGGCTCCTCCGAACCACTGACATCCTCTTCTTCCTCAAAGTCCCAGTCACTCTCCGAGTCACGGTTAAGAACACGCCTTATTGTAGTAGATGGTTGAGAGGCCAAAGGTGAGGAAGCGCGTTTACGACTGGATCGAAGTAATTCAACCTCTATTTAAATTGAAGAAATAAAGAGTGATTAATAACTACAAAAAGCTCTAAAGACATATATATATATATATGCTCACCTTGGCTCAAGTCATCAAGGACTACAACTGGCTGGGGTCTCTTTCTCTTTTGAACCTTCTTCCAAGGAAGAACTCTACGGCCACGAGCAGGTAGAGCAGAACTAGAAGCGCCGTTCAAAGCAGCATCCCTATAAGAGATGGCATGGGAACTTGGTTCTAATTGGCAAATGAAAGTGAAAAGAACGAAAAGTATATGATTAGTTTGAACAATCTAGAAGAGGATATGCACTAAGTACCTGTAGAAGATGATTCTGGTCTTTCTAAATTGAAATTCTGAGAAGTGTCTACTGAAAAAAAATATGTAAGGAGAGCTGAATTGATCATATGAACTTAGAAATCACCTGCGTTGGAGTCAGAAACATTTTCAGCAGACTCACTTGAGCTTTCTGACTCAGATGATGACTCGATAATGATGGGATTCTCTACAGTAGCATAATAGTATTTAGTACATGTTCTACGTACATAGACCTCATGTAACTTACCGATACTGCTAACACGGCGAGAAGAACGAACACGACGCACGATTTGAGTGTAAACAATGCCTCAAAAAGTCAGTCAATATAATGCGAAAACACTTGATTGGCATATATACTTACTGGACACTCTAGGGCCAGAGGGAGAATAGTCAGAAGATGAAGAATTTGAAGGAGAATAGCTTGAGTCAGACATTTTTTCAATAAAGAGATAAAAAGATGATAAAAAAAGGTGGATACTCAATATTTTAAAAGCTTTCTTATATACTTATTTACAGGCGCGGAAGGAATAGCCGAAAAGAAAAAAAGGCAATAAAGATCGCGTGTTATAACACATAAAAGGAAAGCAATATTATCCGAGTCATTCCACCGAGTCATGAAAAAAAATTGTTAAAAAAATACAGTTTTTTTTTTGCTTTAAAAAGAAGTCCAAACCTTAACTTAAATTGCATGGAGAAAAGGAAATATTCCATGTAACTTCTGCGCTTGTGAAATTGTCTTTGAGCTTATTAAGACCTTGTATATTATGGAGATTATCTAAGACACGTATCTAGTATATAAACAAAATGAGACCCATTTGCAAATAATGTTTAACACAGCTGATATAGGGTCTACTAGCTAAGGGCAATGCTTTAAGGGCTCGAATGTTTCGGAGATTGAATACTCTAGGTGCACCCCAGCTTTGAAAGCCAATAACTTCTCGGGAAGTACTCGCAAAATGATTTGCTGAAAACTGTACTATAAGATGTGGGCTTTCTCTATCTGTATACAAAGTTTCATTGTATTCGCAAAAAAAAAGTCGGGTCTATATTTCTGATGTAAATTGATTATGATGTATTTTAGTATGTAAATGAAGACTTATTTAGTGTCAGATCATCATATGCATATATATTCTATATGTTCACAACACTTGTCACAGAACTGCTTCCATGTCTCACGACGACGACGCTTGAGCTCAGCATTGAACTGGTCACAGCAGAAGAGATATCGTTTCCATAGTACAGCCTTACCAACACCGTCAGAAGCTCGTTTCCAAGTTCTTCGGGCGTCCTCACGAGCATCCACCAAATGTTGCAGAGTGGCAGTCCAGAACCAGCTGTTACCAGGAGGCCGTGGTAGTTTGCGACCAACCGACTCATCGAGGCAACGGTGGATGGTATCAGTGAGTCTACTAGCAATAGAATGAACGTCAGGGATAGCCCCTTCGGTTGGAGAAGATGCGTGAGTAGAGGTACGACTGCTATGTTGCCCGTAGGCCGTTTCAAGTGTATACTTAACTTCTGCCAAGAGTGTATTTTTGATCGGCGCGCTATGCAACCGGAAAAGAGACTGATACAGCTCTACACTCTTGTGATCATCCAGACAAGACAGTTTCCATAAAAGACGCGGATGAGCGACAGGAGCAGGCGGCAGAGAGCAAGGCAGAGAGCAAGAGAGAGAGACAGGAACATGGTCAGAGCCAAGGCCAACATCACGTACAACCAAAGAGGGATGAACCAGATCATCAAAGCTGATGAACAGGTCAATCACACTACTCCAGCTAGTGTGCCCAGGTTGAGCATTGGCCATGCGAGCAGCAGAGAACAAGGTAGGAACACCTCTGGCCAGCAGAGAGTTCCAGCAGAAGAGACCAGCTTCTTCAACCCATTCAGCCAATCGAGTACCACGAGTGTTGCTTCGAGAGTCACCAAGAAGAGGAACACTACGTGCATTCAGATCGCCACAAATGAATGCGTTGGTCTGAGAGGCATGGGTGCGAGCAGGGAGAGACATAAGGAGAGACATAAACTCATCATCGGTCAAGGAAGGAGGGGCATAGACACAATGAATGAGAAAGGTAGAAACCTGGCAGGAAAAGACATAAGGAGAGGAGGACGGAAGAGGAGTGACAGGATAAGGACAAGAGGGATTGACCAAAAGAGAGATACCCATCTTGCCACGGAAAGATTCAGCAACAGGTTGCCCATAGGTGTGATACTGTTGCCAAGAGGTAGGGAAGCGGAGAGGAGGAAGAAGCCAGGTTTCGGTAATAAAAATGAGGGAAGAGTCATACAGGTAATCGGTAACAGTGCTAATGGCTTGACGAGCAATACCATTAGCATTCCATATGGTCATGGTGAAGTCATAAGCAGAAGGAGAGGAAGGGGGCATAAAAGCGGAAGAGAGTTGCATAGGTACCTCACTCATTAAGAGGAGGAGACCGGTTCACCATCACCGGCCAAGGTAAAATCCATACTGGAAGGAGAGACAGATGGGGCATTAACACCAGCACCAGCACCAGCCACAGCGGAGAGAGGACCAACCACGGAGCCAGCTTGTTCCTTCGACAACCAGCCTTGACGGACAAAGTCGTAGGCCACCTATCTACGTACTTGTTCGCGGATATAGCCAAGAGCACGGACAAGACGAGCTTGCTGCAACTCGCGTGCTTTGGCA